ATGAGGACACAACGTTGGCTGACAGGATCCGAATCCTCTTCCGAGAGCAAGGGATCACCATTGCCAGCATACTGACTGCATTGGGCTTCATCATATCAACCCTGGTCGTATCGCTGAGTGGGGGTCCACCAAGTGGTGGTACACCCACCCCATCAGGCGATGTCAGAGACTGGATAAAAAAAAACATCTGAAATCACTCGGAGAAGCCCTGGCTAAACTTGCTGGTAAGGCCGCCGAAGCCCTGCCCGGCATCCTGGGTAGCATCGTCTCGTGGCTGCTGAGCACGCTGTCGAAAACAGTCACGTGGCTCGGCCAAAACCTGTGGGCAGCCATCATCGCAGTGGCCGGCTGGTGTACGTCTCGGCTAAGGAATTTTAAACCAAATGAGCCCGGCCGCGATCCCCCCAACCACTAGCGCTGTTTTACGATCTATATGCTGTCGATTTTCAGCCACCCAGTGTGGTGGTAGGGGTTGTGGTGCTGGTTGAACACTGGGCTCCGGGGGTGGTACGACTATGCCCGTTTCACCCGTGGGAGGGGGGGACGTGACTCACGTTGATGCCTGCATTGACACCCAACTTCTGGTCGGCCATGGCTATGACTATTTCGTTGTTGTAGCCTACTGCTTTTTTGACTCTCAGTTGCATGTCGCTCGGGGCCATGTACAATCCCACGTCGAACACGTAGTTGACTTTAGACCGGGCGTATTCTAATACGTGTTGGTAGCGTTTGATGGCACTCGGCAGATCGTCCGGGGCAGCGATAGCATCCTCAACGTTGACCATGAACTGTTTCTGCGCGTCGTTAGCAGTCCCCTTACCAAGGATGTTGGAACGCTGTTTGCCACTCGCGCACCCAACAGCGCCCACGCGTGCGTTCGAACCGAGTCGTTCAATCTGGTGACACCGCACGAAGTAAACCCTTTTGACGTGTCCAGCATATATACTTTCCAATTGTCTTCAACGTAAGGGGGTTGCTCGACCTTTTGGATGGTGAAACCAACGTCGCCTGTAAACTCCATACGATCATCTCGCCATTCGTTATTTTCGACAGAGCAAATTCTGGCGAAGTAAACCTCGTTTCAGTAGATCATCGCTGGCTTCTTTCACCGGTTTTGGCCCACTGTGTATGGGTTTAGGAACGAGGTTGGAGAATGCATGGAAGAAATTACCCGAACTAAACATATTGTGCTTCATAAAGTCTAGCACTGTATCTTTTCGTAATGCTTTTACGGAAAGTCCATCACTGTACGGAATACCCAACCCGTGGTTCACTCCTCCTGGTATACGCCAATCCGTTTTCGGATCGATTCCGAATTCACCACAAATCCGTTCGTAAGCACGCCGATCATGCAGATTGTTTGATGCATCCCACACCTTGTCCTGTGGAAGCGGGGCGCTGATCTCTTTGAGGATATGCCTAACCTGGTAGTACACGTGAAACATGAACACAGAGCTACTCAGCGCATCACGCCGAGTGTCGGTCAATGTCAAGCCACACCCCGCTGTAGCGCACCACACGGCGAAGTTGAGTTGATTCTGCCAGAACTGCATCCGGTTGTTGTACCAAGCGTGGACTGCCTTGACGTTCATCACCGAAAGCCTATACCGTTCGAACACATCATGAACTGGGCTCCAAAGTACAACCCAGCAACGTCGACCACGATCTTCATATTCGTGAAGTCTATGTCCATCTTAGGGTAAAACACTCCTGGTTTGTACATTTTTAAAGTATTATTTAATGGGTATATATACTCTAACATGTACGTAACACTTCTAGGAATAACGAGCGGTGAGTCCGTTCAGCTGATGTACGCGATCGATAACACGTCAGGCCAACTCGAAGTCGCACTCTGCGATATCACCTACCTACCGCGATGGACCAACATCAACACCAACAACAATAAGCTGTTCGTCAGTGGCGCCCGCACCCAGATAATCGACGGCTACTACAGTGTGTGCTCACTAAGTGATGAGGTCTTCAAACCCTTGGGAGCCGAACTCTAGATGAATGACTCAAACGGCACAGTGGTGTTAACCAACAACGGAATAAACCCCTTGAGGCTCGGCCGACCATTGGTGAGGACACTCGGGATGCCGCCGGACGAGATAAAACCCACAACTACCGTCACAGGCACGAAGTTACCCGACCTAGTACCGTACCGAGAGCTGTGCATTCATCTCTGTCAGTTGAGCACAACGGACAACATTCAAGGTGGACACCCTTCCACGATACTGAGAGCCGTACCAGTGAAAACGGAGAAATACAACGACGGCACAACCGAGTCGTTTTCACCGCGGCAGTACAAGAGGTTAACTCGGGGCACCATCCCTGAGTTGGTAATATCGGTTTTAGATATAAAGCATAACCCTGTGAATATAGGATACCTCAGCCTAACGCTGCACATAAAATGACTAGCGCACAAGGTCCCGGAATGAGGTTGAAAAAATGCGTCAATGGGGGGATCTCCGACCTCGGGGACACTATACGAGGTAAACTATACGCCTTACAGCTTAAAAGCAGCATTTACAAACGCGTTGAAGTCCCCTCCATCGGTAGAACCCTAGGTGATATAGTAGATACCTCAGCAGCGGCCCTCAACACTCAGTTCGACATAGTCCGCATCGGTGATGATAGATGCTCGGTATACCCATCGTTCGGAGGCAAACTGTTCGACTTAGAAGATGTTGAGAGCACGACCGTTGCTCGAAACAAGCCATATACACTCGTCTTCACCGACGCCGACAAGTGGGTGTTGTTGCCCTCTTACGACTGGTTTCTCAACATTAGTCTCGGCTCCCCCTATGTGTTCACGGAGAACAAAGACAACTACATAAAGAAAGTCGTGAACAACGGAACCCTGCTCGTGGCTTACATCCCGGCGCATAGACGTAACGTTATCATCAGCCCACTCTCGAGTATGGCGGCCCACATGCTATCGAGCAAGCCGGGGGTGCAAGACATGAAGTTGGAGGTGGTGTCTGAATTCGCCGGCGTAGTCAAAATCCTGGAAGGGCTACCAGCAAATTCCACGCTGGTCATCCAAGTCTACCTAGGTGAACCATCGCAGGATGAAGTCGAAATCGTGAAGGGAATCACACTCTGGTGGGTGAAACGGCACCAGTATCAGGTTTGCACTGTTTATGTGCTGGTCGGTGTGTCGACTCCCACACCAGTCTGCAGGGGGTCACCGTGACCGTGGAAGACACGATATCCCTCACCGATATCGTCCTACCCGACAACATACACCTCATGGGGTTGAAGTGCACCCCTGAGAGGTTATCAAGAAAACAATTGGAAACTATCTTGTAATAGTATCTAGCAATGACCAATTTTCGCCCAAACATCACGCTCGAGGATCTAGGGAACGTGGAGGGGTTCGATTGGGGTGATGAAGACCCCTTGTACGTCCTGTGCTTTACAGGCGACGTGTTTAAGCAGGCGAACCTAAGATTCTGTAAAGAACCCGAATGGTTTATCAACTTAACCCTCACAGCACCTTACGTCTCCATAAACAAAAATTGGGGTGTCTCCGAAATTAGGAACAACGGCGTCTGGCTCACGTCTTTCATACCGAATTCTGATAATATAAGAGTTTCCCAAAGAACAATCTACTCAGGCAACATGTTATATTCATCTGAGGACTCAAGTTTAAGGGCCGACTTACCTGATATCCTACCAAATCCTATGACTGTGAAACCAAACTCAACGCTCATCATAGAAGTCCTTCTTGGAGACACTGCTTTGAGTTCCTGCTGGCAACTTTTACCTGGGTTGACAATAAATTGGAAAGCTGTATATGATTTGGGGGGCCGACGTTGTCGTATCATCAGTCACTCAGAATCGGACATGTTAGTTGAACCTTCACTGGTTCAGGTAGAAGAAAATGCACCTATTAGCCTTTCCCAGATTTTCCTGAACGAGAACCTAGCCCTTATAAGCCTCAAATACATTGATGCTCATTTTAAAAGCGACGAATTAAAAAATATCTTGTAGTATATATTATACACACAGGATGGGACTGTACCCAGTCGTAGAGGAAGTAGCGAAGACACTGGAAACCGTAGACGGGTTTCGGTTGAAACAGTTATGTGATGTAAAACGCCAACTAGAACAAGACCGCGACACACGGGCAGCATTGTACAAGAAGTACCATAGAGCTTTCAATGCCGTGGATGGGGTTGATACCGCCCTTATGACAACCAGCATGGGACTAGGGGCGGTAGGTGTCGGGTTGTTGGCCACCATCGTAGCCGCACCCATAGTGCTAGGCATCGAAATAACAGCTGGGGTGTCAGGGTTGGTGGGGTTGGTGTTTAGGTTTGCGTCACGCAATCTGCATCGTAAAGCGTTGAAGCACGAGATCAGGGCTCTGGCTGAAGCAAAGCTGAATACGGTAGGCGACCACATCCCCACCGCACTCACTGACAGTAAAGTCTCCGAGGAGGAGTTTCGTTTGGTCCTCTCTGAACTTGCAAAATATCACGAAATGAAACGAGAGATTCGAAACAAGTCTCGTAAAAGCACTGTCATCAGCGAAGACGAGAAAAAAAAGTACATAGAACAGGGGATACAACAAGCCCAGCAAGCCTTCATTACGAAAACCAAAGAAATCATAGGAGATTCACGTTAAACTGTTTTGCTGAGATCAACATCATGTAGGGCAGCCACGGGCCACCGTCAGAGAGGAATCACGGCACAATGTTACCCCCCAAGCAAAATATTTAACACTTACCTTGTCGAGTGATCCCAATAGTATCCTGTCAACTGTTTCCTGTCAACACGACGACATAGTGTCACGTGATCAGGAAAGTGTTGGTTCAAGTCATAGTGACCAGGAAGTTAACTGGGAGTTCAACCCTGGTATATACAATAGCGGGGAGAGATAAGGGCCTGACTAAAGCTTTATTTCATAAATGAAGCTTTATAGAGGCTTTTGTTGGACTTGATCTCGTACCCCCAGTGTATATACTACTAGTGTCGTTCCTGCCATCCGCTCACTTAACAAGGCACCTGACATACCTATCTGGTTTGGTGGTTCACCTTTGGCTATCATTGTGATTCTCATACCTCGAGGTGACATGTTGTGGGTGACTGTTGTCCTGTGTTTGGGGTACTCCCTCGCTGTGCCTCTCGGGCAGGTAAAGTAACCCAGCATACATCTCCTTTCAATACTGGGCACTTGCACAGACTGGGGCTATTCTATTAATTGATAATGGTCCCAAATCATTGAGTGCGTGTATTGTTCTATGCTATGTAAACCAAAAGTCACTGCGTTCTGTAATCTGTAATCTGATTGGTTGAAAATCATGATCGAATGGTATTCGATTCCCGGAAATTCGCTGTATAATAATACGTACAAACATCGCTCACACCATTGTATTGTTACGTCGTCAGCTGTGATGACGGCAAACAAATCAAATTGTGACGTAAAGTCTGAATGAGGTCACAAATGAGCAGTTCCAGATGCTACCATGGGAGACAGCCGAAACGCCGGCTGATGACATTTCACTGCTGTACCCGTACTCGATGTCAATGAGTGCAGACACAAAAACGTGTGTGGACCTTTTGGTTTACTTTTGTGTTTACAATGTCGATAAACATCATGTGTTTGCCAATTTCCGTGTTTGCACGGGAATATTTCATTTGAAACCTCCGACTGACGCCGTCGGTTCCAAATGAATTCCCGTGCTTCAAATACTCAATAACAGCCGGAAATTGGCAAACACATGATGTTTATCTCCCTAATCATGCTTGTTAGGAAGCGAATCTGCAGTAATGCCTGAACAACTAGTCTAATCCACTGTCTCCGTTGGATAAAGCATGACTTGCCTGTTACCTAACTTTTGAAAATCGTTTTGCTTTGTCATTTCAGGTCCCGTCGACACCAGGTGAGATAAAGTAATCATTTCGGAACAACGGTGTATCGGAATGCCTTATGAATGCAATTCTTGCAGTTCTTTTTAATGGACATTTTTGTTCAAAACAATGTATCGATGGACACGCACTTTGCTTATTTGAGCATCATATGTGCAGAGCTACAGATAATCTTTTGGGTCATTGAGTTATGTACTCGCTTGTGTTCTTCTCAATTGGGTATCCTAATTTTCCTTTGAGTAACCAAATAAATTGTACTCACCTCACTCAAACTCAATTGGGTATTTTGCCATTTTCCATTAATTTTGAAAACATAATAAAGTTTAAATGTTAGTGTTTGTTATTTATATTTGATCTGTAATTTATAAAACGATAAGAAAGACTGCAAGTTGTCTAGTTCATGTCCTGAAGTAGAACCTCTCAGTATACCTCAGTTATTTTACCTAACCACCGGTACGCAGGCTGAGATTTGACAGTTTTTAGTGTACGCATGTAAGATCACATTTATTGAGTATTTACAAAAATTCAAGCGTACTTGTACGCAATATAGTCTTAATAGAAATTGAGTTTTCACATAATTATTTGCGTAATTTACGCAGATACGCAGCTTATCTGTACCTCTGTATGTGTATCAAAATATTATCTGTTTTCTCCTGGACATAAGTAGATCGATGCTTATGCTGTTGATCGCTGGGTTGTTTTGTCCAGATTGGATTATTTACAGAACGCCGCCATATAGCTTGAATATTGCTGAGTGATGCGTTAATCAACAAACTAGCGGGTTACATAACATAACTTAACCTTGAAAGAAAGCTAGGGTCAGTTCTACATACAAACAAGTATATGCTCAAGCAAAGTAACGTCTGTGTCTACCCCTGACCAAGGAATTCTGTATACCTCCTGATAATGATGACATATGTTGTACAATTGTATAGTTCTTTCAGAGACCAATGAGGATTTCCCGGAGGAAAACCCAGGTAAGTCAACTTTACTGATCCTTGTTAAACATGGATTTAGTAAATTGTAATAGAGAAATCAGTATCCGTATTGTCACTATCATAATTAATCATTAATCAAACCCTGTGATTTCCAGTCAGGATGCGTCTCCTGGGTCCCGATCAACAAAGCATTTATAGAGCTACGACATTCGTAAGCCTATGGTAAACAATGGAGTTACGACAGATCGTAACGTTACGGCTGGTCGTAACTCTACGAACGCTTCGTGGACGTGGGTCCAGACCATGATTGTTCCACCCAGCGATGTGATTCCACTTGTTTGTGGCCACTTGTGGTGTGGTGTGGGTGTGGTGGTGGTGGTGGTGGTGAAGCATGTACAATGTGAATGACCCCATCCTCCCCCATTTCATGTACAAATTCAGTTACCGCCCTCTCCCCTTACCATAATTTCTAAGCATAATTTTATGTACAAAATGATGGCAAAACACACACACACACACACACACACGCACGCATGCACGCACGCACGCACGCGGAGGCTACTCCGAATTAATCTGCGCAATTCTCTATCTTGTTGAGGGTACACACGCGATCGGGGTTTGAGTCATAGGCAAACTCAAATCTTTTAGTGCGATATAACTGGCGGTGAAGATATTCATCTGAAAATAAATAAACAAGAACATGGAAACGTGATGAATACGCACTGGGAAAATTCAGAATTCTATTTGTCCATGGCCACAGTGTTAGCCAGTTTAACAATAATGTCATTTAATCACCAGTTTGATCATTTATTGCAGGACTCTTTGAGGGAGATATCGAGCTTAGACCTGGACAGAACCCACTGGTGAGATTATTTTAGAAAATTGGGGGGTAAGCCTCTTGCATTTACGTTGATGTCTCAACATATAAATGGTGAATATATCAGTAAATTATATACGTATCTATAGTAAATTTATACAAATGTGTTTTTTAAGCCGCATTTCTCACGAGAACAAGTAGGTTGAAAGAATTCTGTGGTTGGTTCGGGACCTGTCAATGTTTCAGGACCGCAAAGCCTACAGAGACATGTAGCCTCGTCCTACAAGTCCTGTTAATGTTTCAGGACCGCAGTGCCTACAGAGACATGTAGCCTCGTCCTACAAGTCCTGTTAATGTTTCAGGACCGCAGTGCCTACAGAGACATGTTGTAGCCTCGTTCTACAAGTCCTGTTAATGTTTCAGGCCCGCAATGCCTACAGGAACAGAAACTACAGATGGCCAGGAGGCGTTGTGCCCTACGTCATCGACACTCACCACTTCTGTATGTACATGTATAGTTGTTGTGTACGTATATATAAAAGACACTAGTAATATGATGAAGTATTGTCGCATTCGATGTGTATTGAAAACAACAATGGTGATCACAACTTCTATAGTTACAGAAGTTCCATTGCACTTTGACCATGGAACTTTCCATATCGTTTTCTTTATAATTCAATATACCACACAAAGGATTTGTTTGAACTAAGTGTCTTATACCGTGTTGATTAACAAGATAGCAAGGTCACCTGTATTATAATTCAATATACCACACAAAGGATTTGTTTGAACTAAGTGTCTTATACCGTGTTGATTAACAAGATAGCAAGGTCACCTGTATTCTCAAAGTTTGTTAAGGATATGACGCGCACAAAGCAGGATCAAAGATGCACATGTCATACTTGAGAGGAGAAGTGCTCGAAATCAGGGCGATTTGAAAGAACAGTAACACTACTGGTTCGGTAACATTACATGAAAGCTATCAACGGTCATAGACGCATCCACAGTCAGATCGCATTTGGAAAATCGTCAAAGATGGCAAGCATCTGCATGTCATGGTAAACAAGTATTTGTCTGTAATGGGTTGTCCGTGATGGCAAGGTTTGTGTTTATCTCAGGCTGCGATTATGCCACGATTATGCCGACTCGACGCGAACCAAATATCGTAGTAGATATTCATGATAGTGGAACATTTTGCATATTTTCCCCTTTCTTGACGCTCTTTTATGGTTTCATACGCTCTGATACGATCTATTCGCCTTCTTACGAGTGGATATCCGATCAGTTGCGCTTCAATGAAGATCTGTTGCGAATATTTGACGATCTGCAGCAACTTTTTACGACCATCGCGATTAGAGTATACGAACTGTTGCGATGTTGTTCGTTTTGAGACGTCCATAACGATCTGCTACTTTTTGTTACCTTCTGTCTAGACAAAGAAGGGCGATTAAACACGATTCTCGGACAGCAGGAGTTACTTTGGAGCCCTTTCCTTGCCCTTGCCTTTTTTCGATCCCATCTCCTATATTCTACAATGCAAATGACGATGAAATAGTGTGATATGGCTTGCAGTTGCATCACAATGAATTTCGTCTGGCAGTGTGAAACAATTTGTAGGAAAGCACACCAAACTCAGAAGAACATGTCGCAGTACAAGGGAGAGTAATAGATCGTGATATATCGTGGACGTTATTCGTAGTACAGCGTGTTAAATAATTCATAGACATACATTGAATCGTGACACAGGGCAGGAGATCTGAATAGAACCGCAATAGATCTTGGTAGAATCGTGGGACAATGGGAACTAACATCTGCTACTCGTTATTACGATGTATTTTGATCATCCCGACACGTTCCATTGCGCTTTTTACGCTTTCTAACGCTCTTATACGATTTGTTCCGATGCCCACACCTTACTATGCATTACCACGTTCTAAAACGATAGCCACAACTATATATCGTGGCAAAATATTGAACATGTTTAATATTTTGCCACGATTATCAAGATGCCACCACGATTTGGATCTGAGATCCTTCACGCTTTTTAAGATGAGTTCGAACAAATTAAAATCGTGGCCATCGTGGTCTAATCGTAGCGTAGTGTAGACTCAGCATAAAGTGGCTGGGCGCCATTCTCAAAGCGATCGCAGGGTAACGTAGCGTAATACAATTGGCTGTATGTGTATGTGTGAAAGGAAAAGATTGTCTGTATAAGGTTTCACTTTTAGTAAAAATTACCAAATGTTGTTATAAAATACTGATGATCTTTTACTCTCTTAATATTATTGGCAATCTGATTGATTTAATCCCGAATGAAAACAGTACCTTGTGCAAGGCAAATGTAATATATTGTCCAAAAACTATTTCATTTTCTTCTCGATGTTTTATAATAGCCGAAATTAATGACACGTGTGCATAAATGGCTATTTTTATTTTATTCATTCACTGACAAGGTGTTTGGATTTGTTCACAGTTCATAAAAAGGGACAATGGTTGCGAGACAGTATGACACTTTTGCAAGAAAATACGTGATGTATTTGGATTTGGTGTGTACATCTGAAAGGAGACTTCCTCAATTTAGTTTCAGGTGTAGGTAGATTTAGTGTCAATTGGATTTAGTTTGAACACGCAAAATCGATATCAACACATTAAAGCTTTGGACAACATCTGTTGAAAGAAATCTATATCTACGTTTTTTCGTTCCCAGTATAGGACATCTATAGTATATACTACTTTATACTGCTATTTAATGCTATGTACTTGAATAGGGATAGTTAGATGACATGTTATGAAGTATATTGAGTTTCTAGTTCGGAAAATATGCTGATGTTTCTTGAACAGGGTACCAATATCTAAAAATAAACCAAACAACAACGAAAGCAAAAACAATCCGAACCAGATATTTTTAAAGGACTACCAAACTGGGAAATGATCATGTTTACCATTTTCAAGGAATATGTTTCTTCTGAAAACTTTACAAGTGCTTCCTTCCTAAATGTGTTTGTTGGTAACTTTCAAGTTGTCCATTTTTTAAGAGCCATGACAGAAGAAGATATTTTCTGGTGTTTTTGAAAGACCAATACATACACCAAACCTGTTACAAATATTTTGATGTTTTGATGACATCCTGATAATATCCTGATGACATGGATGATGAGGTCTTGACAAGCACCTGTTGGAATCATTACCACAATTGCATGCTCCTGTCGCCACACGTCCAAAGATCGCGTCTAACTGTATAAAGAGGACATTAATCATTTTACGACTTGGTGTGCAGAAAACCACTTCCTCTTAAATGTCACAAAGACAAAGGAACTGATAATTGACTTTCGGAGTAAACCCACAGAAATGCTTCCAGTGATTATCAACGGTGAATGTGTTGAGACAGAGTCGGAGTATAAGTATCTGGGAACCTTCATTGACTCTAAGCTGAACTGGAACTCTAACACTGAAGCCCTATGCAAAAAGTGTCAACAACGTCTTCATCTCATGCGTAAACTGAGATCTTTTAATGTTAACCCATCCGTGATGTCATCTCTTTATGTAACATTTATTCAGAGTGTTTTAACATTTTCCTTCCATTGTGTGTACGGGTCTCTCTCAGTTCATCTCAAATCTAAAATAAACAATATTGTTAACACTGCAAGTAAAATCGCTGGAGTCAGATTTGAATGTTTATAATCAATATATATAAATCGTGAATCAAGCTGTCAAAATCATATCTGACCATACTCACTACTTAAATTCGGAATACAACCTCCTCCTTTCAGGCCGCTGCTACAAAGTTCCAATTGTGAAAACTAAGAGAGCCCGTACATCCTTTATTCCAAGTACCATACATCTCTTAAACAAATGTGAAGATACATAACTCAAAGAATTTATGTAAGTATGTTTGGTATCTCTCTAATGTGTCAGTAGCTCTGCTGATGTAACACAAAAGGCATTAAAGTATTATTCTATTCTCTTCTATAAAACACAGTTGCGTTTCCACAAAAGCCAGAGAACAGGTTCTCGTGTAGTGTACCTGGTTGGCCCGCATGGATCTACGGGAGCTCCAGTCAGAGGGCACCTTGCTTCTTGTTGATCAGCAAATGCGTTAGTAGCAATGGTGTCTTCTGGTAACAATGTTCCATTGTCTGGTTAGCTTCCTCAGAACAGCATACAATCCACCAGGCCATGCAGACCATCTCCGACAAAACCAAACATAACGGCAAAGCGTGTATCACCTTTAAACCACGTTCCCATGAATCAGCGTACATCAAGTACCAGGGTGGATCAGGGTAGGTGAAGAATACCGGTGCTGATGAGCAGGTGTTAGTGTGGGTGAGGTAAGATGAGATGAGATAATTAGGTGTTGAGGTATTTGTGTGGAGGGACTGTGGGTGAGATATGGAGGTATTTGTGTGGGTGAGATATGGAGGTTTTAGTGTGGGTGAGATATGGAGGTATATTTGAGATGAGATATGGAGGTTTTAGTGTGGGTGAGATATGGAGGTTTTAGTGTGAGTGAGATATGGAGGTTTTAGTGTGGGCGAGAAAAGCAGGTTTTATTGAGGCCGAGATATGGAGGTGTTAGTGTGGTTAAGATATGGAGGTTTTAGTGTGGGTGAGCTATGGAGGTTTTATTGAGGGTGAGATATGGAGGTGTTAGTGTGGGTGAGATATGGAGGTTTTATTGAGGTTGAGATATGGAGGTGTTAGTGTGGGTAAGACATGCAGGTTTTTGTGCAGGTGTGAAAAGCAGGTTTTATTGAGGGTGAGATATGGAGGTGTTAGTGTGGGTAAGATATGGTGGTTTTAGTGTGTGTGAGATATGGAGGTTTTGTGTGGGTGAGATATGGAGGTTTTGTGTTGGTGAGATATGGAGGTTTTTGTGTGGGTGAGATATGGAGATTTTTGTGTGGGTGAGAAAAGCAGGTTTTATTGAAGGTGAGATATGGAGGTGTTTGTGTGGGTAAGATATGGAGGTTTTGTGTAGGTGAGTTATGGAGATTTTTGAGTGGGTGAGATATTATTATTATTATTTATTTTTTTATTATAGGACATTTATATAGCGCACATATCCAGGCAACTACTGCATGCTCAAGGCACTGGTATTTTTCCCCTCGATCATTGGATGTCAATCACAACGGCACATCGTATTATCAATCTTAACTCCCTGGGGAGTATACATGGATATGGAGGTTTTGTGTGGGTGAGATATGGAAGTTTTAGTATGGTTAAGATATGGAGCTTTTTGTGTGGGTGAGAAAAGCAGATTTTATTGTGGGTGAGATATGGAGGTTTTTGAGTGGGTGAGATATGGAGGTTTTTGAGTGGATGAGATATGGAGGTATTGGTGTGGGTAAGATATGGAGGTTTTGTGTAGGTGAGATATGGAGGTTTTGTGTAGGTGAGATGTGGAGGTGTTAGTGTAGGTTAGGAATTGAAGTATTAGTGTTGTTATCTGCCTTTTGTGGGAAATCAGAACTAAAAAGTAAAGGAATATATATATGCTGTGATGTTCCAGATGCCATACCCCTGTAGGGTATCACCACAGCATGTCTGGTGTGACCCTTGGAAGTGGCTGTGGCCAAATCGGAACCATCATGCACGAGACTCTCCATGCTCTGGGTTTCTGGCACGAGCAGAGCCGCCCCGACAGAGATGGCTATGTCAGCATTAAGTGGAGCAACATCCAGCATGGTATGGACATACACCTCCATTGTCAAATCTCCCTGTTGGTTTTCTTAAATTTGACGGTCTTATCAGAGTACTGAAGTTACAAAATTATATCCCGGAAATGAAATCAGAAATTATTCGTGAGCCTCGACTGAATATTTCAGGTCGTGAGCACAACTTCGACAAGTATTCAACCGCCATGATTGACACCCTTGGACAGCATTATGACTACGGGTCCGTCATGCACTACAATGCATACAGCTTCGCCATCGACCGCAGGAAGCCAACCATTGAAGTCAAGCAGAAGGGAGCAGTCATTGGGCAGAGAACTCACCTCAGTCCTATTGACATCAAGAAAATTCAGCTCTACTATGAATGTTGAGATGTACATGCACAGGGTGTTTAGTCATTAAAGGGAGTTGATGCAAGTCCAGTGTTCCTATAGCCTTCAGTTCTTGTGCTTATCTGCCTGTCATGGCGAGAGCACACATCAGACAGACTAGAAAAGCTGGAGGTAAACTGTATGTCACTATTCGGTGACTTAACCAAATCTCTTTTCATTGGCTGTTTTTAAAGGTCACATGCAACCAAAAAATCAAACATAATTAAAACACAATTATCACTTACTCATGACATATAATATACATTGCTGGTAATGAAAAAACATATAAACAAAATTATAAGCGTACAATCGCAAATCAAAAGTGCAAAATTGTGTACTTCGGTTTACTCCCCAAGAAACGAAGCAGCCGGGATACCGAACCCAGTCAGAGCGGGTGGGGGTGCACTCAAGTGTAACGGCTGGTTCATTTGCAGATGCCTTCACGGCTCATTGTGTGTGTATATATAGAGATGCTGGGTTTTGTAAATACATGCTCATTTTTTTGTGTATAACATTTTGCAATCAACAGACATCATAACATGTCATGTGTTCAAGTATCACACCTGCCTGTCTGTGTAATTACATAATGTGACAGAGACCGAACTCGGGCCATAAATCAATGCATTTTGTTTATGGTGTATATCCTGATTGGTGTTAAGTTCAAATTGCATGTGGTCAGTGATAGCAGCTGTGTATTGAATATTGTCATTAGCAGACAGGCAGGCAGACACACAGGTGTCAATAAAACAAGACATTGAGTTTTGTCTGTGACAACGACATATCTATATCACAGTTAGAAATTCTGTCAACGCTAAATAATGACATTGCTTTTAAGTATCTAACTGAGAAAGTGACTCGGTAAGAAGAACGTGTGGTGAAATAGACAAATGAAATTATATAAACAGTTAATTTACTGTCATAACATATAAAAAGCTCGCGCCTGTGAGATATCAACAAAACATTAGAAAAATAGCTCACACCAAAGCCTTCACCGAGTATTCACTGGACAACCCGCTTCCAAGCTGCGCGAACCTATTTCACTGCGCACGTGCTATGAGCGCAGCCCAGCTGTTGAAACCCGTTTTCCCCAGAAAATTCGGGGGAAAATTAGTGAAACGTTTGAACTCCGATTTCGCGCGGTTTTTTTTCATCGCGGTTTTTTTTAACTTTATAAGTTGAATTTGCATTTTTGAGGATTTGTTTCGGTAGGTCCATACCGAAAGGTATCAGAATCTGCAAAGTTGTGTTTTACGTTGCATGTAACCTTTAAGCTTTCTCTTGAGCTCAACTCATTCAATAAAATGGCCAGTCTCTTGTCATAACAACACAATGGGTATGGTCACAGTTTTTATATTCAGCTGCTTGTACAAAAGACAGAAAACAAACATGATTTAAATATACAAGTAAACATCCATCCAGAAAACAAAGGCAAACATTCATGATAAGCATGCTATGCTTATATTGCATACATTGACTTTTTGCAATCTCAGAAAAGAACACAGATCAATTCTGTCAAAACATTTGATTTTCAACTTCGTACACCACTGTCTGACAAAACAAACTTCAGGAGAAACTTAATGCATTGATCCATGGGCTCCTGTAACAGAATTGGTTACCATAGATACACTGACATATCTATGTTTGGAGATTCAGGTAGGTTTGTCAAAAATGAAGACAAGTGTCATCTGAAGTTTACTGAGAAATAAAGAATACATGAAAAGATGGACCTCCTCATTTTACCATCTATCTATAGTTTGGGGCAGATATTCAATAGGCAACCTCATGGGCAGCAGCTGTGCTCCCCTTCTTGCAGATCTACTTCTAATGCATAAGACTGGCTAAGTCAAAGAAAATCTGACCTAGAAGTTAAGCAAAGGCCTCTAGTATATTCATGATCTAATATAGTTCAATAACTGTCCAATAACCAATTACCCTTCACTGACTACCCCACAACAAATGTCGGAGACCAGTGACACTGCACAACCTGTACCGTATTCATGTCTGTGGATAAAGATTCTGAGTCTCTTGAAGGCTCGATGACAACAGACAACTATTCTTTTCTGTAAGCAGTTTTCCAGCAGCTCCACAGCTTTTGTGTTGATATTTCACATTGTTTTAGGTACATTTGAGCATACTCGTTCTACCAAGACTTCAAACAGAAGTCACACAACTCTTGCTCAGTTGGTACATCAAGGTACACCATTCAAGACCTCAGTAAGCTTTCAAAAGTGTTATCATAGCCATGGAGGATATTTCCAAGTATCCCCTGTCAGTGACAAAATGGTGTCTGATGCAGTTCCGTGTTTTGATTTTACCAAATGTTTGCATGTGTTTTTGCAGGTGAACAACTGGCTTGCTTTTGCATAAGTTTGTGAGTGAGTGAGTTGGGTTTTACGCTGCTTTTAGCAATATTCCAGCAATATCACGGCGGGGGACACCATAAATGGGCTTCACACATTGTGCCCATATGGGGATTTCGAACCCGGGTCGTCAGCGTGACGAGCCGACGCTTTAACCATTAGGCTACCCCACCGCCCCCGCATAAGTTTGTGATGGTTCCGGCCAGTGTAGGATATGCTCACCTTGCTGTGAACACCTGTTATCGTCACTATTTGACACTTGCTCATGATAATGTCGGAATTGTACAATGAAGTCTGCTTTTTGCACAGATGTCTTATGGATATTTTCGTTTTGTCACTTGTATTTACATTGCAGATAGCTTCATAAATGCTCCAGAGGAACATTACTAGTTTCAGGTTAACATGATATTGAGTGTGTTAGTGGTTCCCTCATTTAGATCTCATGTATTAAAATACATCAAACAAAATATAAGAAAATACAAGTGAAACCAAAAAAGAGAGACAAATCAGTTATTAGCTGATACGAGAAATGCAAAAAAGGGTTCTTTAGTCCAAATCTGGCTCAACATGAGACAAGGTACTTGTTGTTAGGGGTTATGTGCAGATTGTCCAGTCTGTTGGTTGTGAGTCAGTCGGGCACTGTGAGTACTGTGGGATAAGAACCTTTTCTAGCAAAATACACACTGCTTGACTGAAGACAGGCCTTGTATCAAACATATCAATGGTCACAAGTAGTTGATAATGATCAATAGAGTGAGAAATGATCTATAGATTTAGGGACTGACTATGTCATATTTTGCTCAGGAATTACCTCCCCTTTTTTGAAACAATGAAAAGACATCACACCTGTAACAAATATCCTCTGTAGGTGGGTCTCTATGGCTGTGATCACAAATATCAGCCTCGTTGGTCTGGGCCTTGTCAAACAGGAAAAGTGTGCCTTCAAGACAAGTACCGGAACCTCTTTTAAGATTTTGAAACCTTTTTTTATGTTGTGACCTTGACTTTTAACCAGAAATCATTCAAAGAATAATCTGTCAATAGTTTTAGAGTGGTATTCATTAGAAATATCACTGGCATCAAGGGTGGAACTTACAGGTAATTTGAAAAAACCCACTCATCTACTGAATCGGCAAGTAAATCCAACAACGACCCACAAGGCTCTGTAGCTCACCTACTTTTTCCTTTCTTCTTTGCATTTGCAATGAAATATTAAAAAATTCCAAAGACTAAGGTCATAAAAGAGTCCCCAAAGAAAATGTTCATTGTCTGCAGGGGGCAAAATATTCATGAGAAAAATATATAAATATAAACCCACATGACATATATATCTGATTTACACCTGCCAGTAATTCACAACTGATATAACAAATACTAACACATTGTATGGACACAACTCCACAGAAGATCTGTCCACGGCAGTTTAAGTATAGTCTTATGAAGACAGACAGTGTTTTAAAACTTCTTTTCAGTAGAATACATTAAAACCTGTTCATCTTAGAAGTCTTGCTCCTGACACAATGAGATATTACAAACCATTTTGGGAGCAACTTTTTAAAAGAGACATTCTTCCTTGCACCCAGTTTACAGCAAGATGGCCAATGTAGAGCATATGACAAAGTAGTCTCATGGATCACAAGGATCTCAAGGATCACAAGGATCACAAGGATCACAAGGATCACATGGATCTCATGGATCACATGGATCACATGGATCACATGGATCACAAGGATCTCATGGATCTCATGGATCACATGGATCACATGGATCACAAGGATCACAAGGATCACATGGATCACATGGATCACATGGATCACAAGGATCACATGGATCACATGGATCACATGGATCACATGGATCACATGGATCATAAGGATCACAAGGATCACATGGATCACATGGATCACAAGGATCACATGGATCACATGGATCACATGGATCACAAGGATCACATGGATCACAAGGATCACAATGGATCACAAGGATCACAAGGATCTCTTGGATCTCATGGATCACAAGGATCTTTGTGCATGAAGCTGGGAATATGCCACTTCAACAGAGCAATATCTGTCCGGGACAAGATGGATTCAAGCTGGTTTCTCAACCTCGTGTTCATACTTTGTCTTCATTGATTAACAACAAAGTATTTATCGCTTCGACAGGTTGTCCAGAAATAGGACAAAATGATTTCTAATAGATAGTGTGTAGGTATTTCTAATAGATAGTGTGTAGGTATTTCTTCTACTTAGAGATGTGTAAAATACAGCTCTCTGTGTATCTTAAATTTTGATTATTTCATCTGCTATTTCAAAATATATTAATCCATCTCTGATATTATCCAAATTTTCAATTTAAATTCTTTTCATCCACTTATTAATAATATATTCAAAGGGAAAGTACTTAACTAAGATGTAAGTAAAACAGATATTACAGCCTCATGATAACTGCATGTTTCATAAATATGAATGTCTCCATTGTCAAGTCAAAGAAAGGTGGTCCAAAGTCTGTAAGCAAGGACAACTGGCAATCATCCATTAACAGTTTCAACAAACAGATTTACAACTTACAGATTACAATACAATACATACAAGATATTTACCTCTGACACTAACATCAAAATGTTACAAGAAATTAATGACCTCAGTAACAAGAGAAAAAGACAACGAACAAATGGGAATGTAGACCTTTGTTTCCATGTTTGACAAATAAAAAACCAGACAGAACAATATTAAACGATGGTAAAATAGAAAACAATCATAAACGATAAGAGACGTTATTCTGGTCTCTGATTATACGCACACATGCTCAATCCCAACAATCAGGAATGATAAAAATGTGGACCCAACAACGCTATCTCCATGACGATGCCAGTGTGGTATCTATTTCCCTGACATTACATGTCACTCAAAACACATTTCAGCTTGTCATCACTCACTTTCAAATATCTACCTTAAATCGGTATGTAGGCTATACTCTGTCCAAAACCTCATTTTCACAGATAAATTTATTTGTCACGATAATAAATCGTCTGTTTCTTATCAAAACTTTTCGTGCAATACGAATTGAGCTGTCAATGTCCAAATTTGGACGAAACATAAAAAGGTACGTTCTGTGACACAGTACTTTGAAACCTCAACTCCGTAATACAAATGTGCTATTTCATTCAATCCAAATTCGACCTTGACCTGTACGTCCTTGTCCATGTTTTACAGTGCATGTGCCGTGAAACAGTGATTTTGATTGGTCGTTGCTCTAGGTGACTCATCTGTTGACAGGTGAGTCATCGATGAATGCAAGAACTGACTTGGCCACCTCTTTCACCTTTTCCTCTCCATGTAATGAGAGTTCCCGCGTGATATCAGCAATCCCAGAGGCGACTAGTTCTTCACGTAGATTACCTGTAAAAGTAATACAAACATTGAAATTGTCGACAAAAAATAAGTGAACTTGACAAATGTTGTCATTCGCACAAACATTAGAGTCCCTTCATTAATACCCCTACAATCATAGAACCAAAATTAAAATATTCAAATAAGCAATTCTATTTCCACAATGATTTTTGTTTGAAAATAGACCAGGGACCCATTTTTAAAATCCTAACGCTAGGACTGTTGTCAGTCATGTTAATGTGAGTGAGTTATGATCATCTCAGCACCAGGACCACTTTCTGGAAGGGGGCTCATGGTTTAGATATTTTATGCAGAAATAAGCTCAAAAGGTATGAAAAAGCATTCATGCACATCTGTTTAACTGATGTGTGACCACCACGTAACTTGAAAACATAGCTGAAAAACAGCTAAAAAGCACAACCCACATTCACACTAAACACACTTCAAGCCTGAAAAGTAAGCTCTATTTCAAAGCAGATTTGCTGGAATGAATCATAAACTTGGTTAAGTGACTTGAATAGAGCCTAATGTTTTATACTCCATGTGTATGTGACAGTTATGAATAAAACAACAGATCAATAACGACAAGAAATGCATCTTGAACCTCTTGCACTAACTTCCTACTTGAACAATTGGATTTTCTGATTAAATATTATGCTGTATATATAAGTTCCTGTATATATGATATATACATGCATTAGTAAATTTGGGTGTTAAGGAGAATCTGTAGAAATGGACATTGTTACAGGGCAGACATTGGTCAGACTGTGACCTGTTCATCTGTTATTGTTTTCAGTATCTGATCATTCTGTAGTAATCTTTTTGATTGACTGATTGTTTATAGTTTAACGTACCACTCAGCAATATTCCTGCTTTATGACGGTGGTCTGTAAATAGTCAAGTCTGGACCAGACAATCCAGTGATCAACATTGATCTACACACTTGGGATACGATGACATGTGTCAACCAAGTCAGCCAGCCTGACCACCTGATTCCGTTAGTCGCCTCTTACGACAAGCATGGGTTACTGAAGATCAATTCTAACCCGGATCTTCACGAGCATAGTACTTTTTAATCCAAGAACAGTTTATTGAATCCAGTGAACAGAATATCTATGTTTGACTGAAGTCTTGCTTAGGATGGGTTAAGATACATAATCAAATACATTTAACATAATCAGGATAACTGTAACAAAACATTTCACAGCAAAGCAAGCATAATATATCCAGGACAATCAAATCTAACTACATATACAATGTTTTGTTTCCACAGCAGTCAGCGATATGGCAGCTATATGATCCAGCTACGCATCCAGCGGTATGATGGTGGACAGTTAACCAATCCAATCTGGATCAGACAGACCAGAGATGGCATTTGGAGCAACACTGTCCATTGATATGCAATCAATCAAATTATCGCGTCTGCTCTATCTCATCATAGAACTAAGTTACTTTGGCTGACTTTATACAACACCAATAGCAGAGCAATGGCTGCAGCTGGAACAGATGCATCCAGTGTTTTTAAAGTTGCGTTGTGCACACTACAGACGTTACAAGGTATATAAACACAGATGGACGAGGGACTCACATTGTTCATGTTGTCATGGGAAAATTATTTACATGGATTCTGAAAATTCTAAGGCCAAACTTCATCACTCAATTACATTGTGATAAATGCACAAGATGTCTGAATTATGATCAGGAATCATACCATGACAGACAGAAACAGATCATTCATAATTATCTGACCAAATATTCTGTTGTGTAGGTAGGTGCAGCCAGCTTTGCATGTAGAGATATCACTTAGCAGGCCAACTTATTCCAGCAATATCACGGCGGGGGACACCAGAAATGGGCACCAGAAATGGGCTTCACACATTGCACCCATGTGGGGAATCGAACCCGGGTCTTCAACATGTCGAGTGGACGCTTTAACCATTAGGCTCCCCCACTGCCCCGTAGCCATAAGAACAAGGTGAACATCTAGCTACCAGTTATACAACACAGGACAACACAAGTCACATCTAGTCTACACAAGACTATGCTACAACATGAGGCAAAGTGTTTACAGCCACTTAAAAGTTTCTTGCTTTTAAGCCACACTCAGCAATATTCCAGCTAAATAAGTCACTTTGCCTGAACCACAGATGTATTGGGTGCCTGTTGGATCTACACCCAGTGTTGGTTGCTGGGGATCTATCGGGACTCTACACTGGAGCCAATAACAGGAACCACTGGAATGGTACCTAAAAGCTTGCTAAGCCTTATAGTTTAAGCAGATTTGATCAACAGTCATTGTAACCAGCACAGTCAAGCTACAGTGGATTAAGTAAGCAGCACTACACAACTATACAGCACCTAACACCAACCATCAAAACGTCACGGATTGTTATACACTACATTCCTCCATCACCTGTGAACACATACAACTGTTATGAGTTTTGTGAGTCTGTTAACAAAATGATCACACGTTTAACTCTGAGAAGTCTGAAGAACCCTTCTCCATGCACTTAATTTGTTTTGCTTATTTGTTGGTTAACGCCACACTCGGCAATATTCCAGCTATATGGCGACGGTGTGTAAGTAATGGAATCAGGACCAGACAATCCAGTGTTCGACAGCAGGAGCATTAATCTACCCATTTCGGAATGATGACATGTGTCAACCAAATCAGCGAGTCTGACTACCCAATCCTGTTAGTCTTCTCTTACAACAAACATGGGTTGCTGAAGACCAATTCTAACTCATGAACTTGGCGCAAACTCTACCCATGTCCGATACTGAGTGGAAGAGAGTTTGGATTATGACTCCTTTGAACAGTACTTTGTGTGGGGTAAAAGCATGAAGTGATGCAATTCTCTGTATGTTTAAGGTGCTGGGAAGCATAGAAACATCAATGAGGCAAACTGTGATTCAAACCTCATTGATTGGCTTCTTGCATGTCATGGGCACAACTCAAAGGGGGGATTTTAGGCAATTGGTATAAGGAGCCAAATTCAAGATGCACCTTAGAAAACTGGTCCAAGGGGCACAACTCAAGAGGCACCTCAGACAATTGCTCCAAGGGGCACCTCAGATGACATCCAAGGGGCACAACTCAAGGTGAACTTTCGAAAACTGGTCCAAGGGGCACAACTCAAGGTGAAGCTACGAAAACTGGGCTAAGGGGCACAACTCAAGGTGAACCTTTGAAAACTAGTCGAAGGGGCACAGCTCAAGAGGCACCACAGACGATTGCTCCTAGGGGCACCTCAGATGACATCCAAGGGGCACAACTCAAGGTGAACCTTCGAAAACTTGCCCCAGTGGTACCACTCAACGTGAACCTTCGAAAACTGGTTCAGGAGCACACCTCAAAGGGAACATCAGAAAACTGGTTCAAGGAGCACACCTCAAGGGGCACCTCAGATGAAGAGCCACCTGTGTCCTGCCTGATATTGAAGCATGTGTAGAAGAAGCATGTTGATTTAATCTGTGTGTTCATAGGACTAACTTGTTTCCCTTTAACTGGAATAAAGACATTGCTCGGTTCATCATTAAAACACTAGTGACTACACCAAACAGTGGCTGTATCTATTCCCAGGTGATGGAGGTGACAAGGGACCGTAGTGTACACAAACCTGACTGCCATTACTGCAACAGACAAGGGAAGGCTGGGTGAAGCAGGGCTGGCTCTCAGTGACAACACCTAGGAGGTTAACCTACTCTGTACATCTGAGAGAATCCCTGTACAAGCCAGGAGACTACAGGGAATGGCCTGAGGACTAGTTGGTGAGGCTGAAACACAAGGGGTATGCTGGTTAGAAGGCTGACTACAGCTGTTCAGGAAGCGGCTAGTGCTTAAAGCTGCTGGCTACTTCTGGGTGATGACAGCTTGATCCCAAATAGTGCTGCAGCACAAGCAGCTCAAAGACATTTGGAAATCCTTTGAAGCTAACATGTTATATTTTGATTACACTTTCTTAGTAAAGTGCAGATTCTGGAACTTTCAATTCTATCCAGTATTCAAACCCACACTCTCAGAGAGAGGCACCTAAAAGCCAACATGAAAAAGTTAAAATAAAAAAGTCCAAGAATCTGATCCTTCCTGAGCAAGTGTAATCCCAAACATCACATGTTACATATGACCATCTTCTAAAGGCACTGTTGCTTATAAAGTTAGTCTGAATCATTTTGGGGATTTTAAGAGTCCTTCCTGTGGAGCAGGATCCTGCTCTCTGTAAATCACTGACTGATATTGATCCTTTATCAAGGTCATCAGAATTCAAAATTGTGAGTGAGTGAGTAAGATTTAACTCTGATTTTGAACAGTATTTCTGTTGAGCATGTCAAGTTAGTGAGGGAAGAAAGCCCAAATTTACCACTTTGACGAAAAGCTAGGCGAGAAGATGAAATGTGAGGATTTGTTATGTGTACACTGACCTGGTGAGACTGAGACTGCGTACCCACCTGCTGAGACTGAGACTGTGTACCCACCTGGTGAGACTGACCCTGTGTACCCACCTGAGGACGCTGAGACTGTGTACCCACCTGGAGACTGTGTGTACCCACCTGGTGAGACTGAGACTGTGTACACCCACCTGGTGAGACTGAGACTGTGTACCCACCTGGTGAGACTGAGACTGTGTACCCACCTGGTGAGACTGAGACTGTGTACCCACCTGGTGAGACTGAGACTGTGTACCCACCTGGTGAGACTGAGACTGTGTACCCACCTGGTGAGACTGAGACTGTGTACCCACCTGGTGAGACTGAGACTGTGTACCCACCTGGTGAGACTGAGACTGTGTACCCACCTGGTGTACCCACCTGGTGAGACTGAGACTGTGTACCCACCTGGTGAGACTGAGACTGTGTACCCACCTGGTGAGACTGAGACTGAGACTGTGTACCCACCTGGTGAGACTGAGACTGTGTACCCACCTGGTGGTGAGACTGAGACTGTGTACCCACCTGGTGAGACTGAGACTGTGTACCCACCTGAGGAGACTGAGACTGTGTACCCACCTGAGGTGTACCCACCTGAGACTGAGACTGTGTACCCACCTGGTGAGACTGAGACTGTGTACCCACCTGGTGAGACTGAGACTGTGTACCCACCTGGTGAGACTGAGACTGTGTACCCACCTGGTGAGACTGAGACTGTGTACCCACCTGGTGAGACTGAGACTGTGTACCCACCTGGTGAGACTGAGACTGTGTACCCTGTGTACCCTGGTGAGACTGAGACTGTGTACCCACCTGGTGAGACTGAGACTGTGTACCCACCTGGTGAGACTGAGACTGTGTACCCACCTGGTGAGACTGAGACTGTGTACCCACCTGGTGAGACTGAGACTGTGTGAGACTGAGACTGTGTACCCACCTGGTGAGACTGAGACTGTGTACCCACCTGTGTGGTGAGACTGAGACTGTGTACCCACCTGGACTGAGACTGTGTACCCACCTGGTGAGACTGAGACTGTGTACCCACCTGGTGAGACTGAGACTGTGTACCCACCTGGTGGTGACACTGAGACTGTGTACCCACCTGGTGAGACTGAGACTGTGTACCCACCTGGTGAGACTGAGACTGTGTGTACCCACCTGGTGAGACTGAGACTGTGTACCCACCTGGTGAGACTGAGACTGTGTACCCACCTGGTGAGACTGAGACCCTGTGTACCCACCTGAGACTGTGACCCACTGACCTGGTGAGACTGAGACTGTGTACCCACCTGGGAGACTGAGACTGACTGTGTACCCACCTGGTGAGACTGAGACTGTGTACCCACCTGGTGAGACTGAGACTGTGTACCACCCACCTGGTGAGACTGAGACTGTGTACCCACCTGGACCGAGACTGGAGACTGTGTACCCACCTTGGAGACTGAGACTGTGTACCCACCTGGTGAGACTGAGACTGTGTACCCACCTGGTGAGACTGAGACTGTGTACCCACCTGGTGAGACTGAGACTGTGTACCCACCTGGTGAGACTGAGACTGTGTACCCACCTGGTGAGACTGAGACTGGTACCCACCTGGTGAGACTGAGACTGTGTACCCACCTGGTGAGACTGAGACTGTGTACCCACCTGGTGAGACTGAGACTGTGTACCCACCTGGTGAGACTGAGACTGTGTACCCACCTGGTGAGACTGAGACTGTGTACCCACCTGGTGAGACTGAGACTGTGTACCCACCTGGTGAGACTGAGACTGTGTACCCACCTGGTGAGACTGAGACTGTGTACCCACCTGGTGAGACTGAGACTGTGTACCCACCTGGTGAGATACTGATGGACCAGGTGAGACTGAGACTGTGTACCCACCTGGTGAGACTGAGACTGTGTACCCACCTGGTGAGACTGAGACTGTGTACCCACCTGGTGAGACTGAGACTGTGTACCCACCTGGTGAGACTGAGACTGTGTACCCACCTGGTGAGACTGAGACTGTGTACCCACCTGGTGAGACTGAGACTGTGTACCCACCTGGTGAGACTGAGACTGTGACACCTGGTGAGACTGAGACTGACTGTGTACCCACCTGGTGAGACTGAGACTGTGTACCCACCTGGTGAGACTGAGACTGTGTACCCACCTGGTGAGACTGAGACTGTGTACCCACCTGGTGAGACTGAGACTGTGTACCCACCTGGTGAGACTGAGACTGTGTACCCACCAGGTGAGACTGAGACTGTGTACCCACCTGAGTGAGACTGAGACTGTGTACCCACCTGGTGAGACTGAGACTGTGTCCCCACATGGTGAGACTGAGACTGTGTACCCACCTGGTGAGACTGAGACTGTGTACCCACCTGCAGTACAGATGGACCAGGTGAGACTGAGACTGTGTCCCCACATGGTGAGACTGAGACTGTGTACCCACCTGGTGAGACTGAGACTGTGTACCCACCTGGTGAGACTGAGACTGTGTACCCACCTGGTGAGACTGAGACTGTGTACCCACCTGGTGAGGCTGAGACTGTGTACCTACCTGCAGTACAGATGGACCTGGTGAGACTGAGAGTATTACACAGGATCTCGGGGATGGTGTCGGGGTTCTTCAACAGGGTGGTGATGGTGGTGGCCAAGTCAGCTTCCTTCAGGGGTACAGCTGCATCTCCTGGACAGAAAATGGGGGAAGAGGATTAGGAATGGAGGGCACAGAGTACGTACACCTTAGAATCTTTGACCATCTGAATGTATGTATTCCTCCTGTGATGATTAACAATGAAAATATTGATATGTAAGTGTCGAAACACTTGAAAAACCCATGATCAAATTCAGCTGTCATCATTGATGGTGACAAGCACATGGCATGGCAGAAATAGTGAAAATTAGATTGGAAACTCCTTAGACAAATCATCTCTTGGAAGAGTTTAAGCTTTAAGGTTTTAGCATCATTAGCTAAGTGGTCTTAGAGAAACTGTTTATGCTGGCTGCTGGTTGAAAAGGCAATGGCACCCGTGACCTGATTTTGTCCCCCATGCCTTTATTTTGCCGAAGCAGTTTAAATACAATCATACCTAATACAGTTGAACAGATGAGTGTGAGAGAGAACAGTGCCTCATTCTGCATCACTACATGCTCTGACGTTGCCATGCCGACGAGATACTGTATACCATCATTCTTTATAATACTCTTCATCACATCACTGGACTTGCTGTGTTTGATGAGCCAGGCCAGGAGTCGAGTTGCCTCCCCTGAAAACACGCCATATACCAGGAATGACAGAGACCTTTAGTGAAGGCCAAAAGTAGTGTAACGTGAGAGATGGAGAAAGAAGGGTCAGTTTTCAAATGACTTGAATCAATCTTGGATAGGATAGGATGGCCAAATACACTGTGCAAAGATGCTTTTCAAAATATGTCTCATTTTTGGGACAATAGATATACAAGGAGGAACCTGACCTGTGACCCCTGCATGACCTTCAACTCCACACCACTCGACTAGTTTCACCACAAAGTCTTTGTCACAGCCGAGCGACTTTGAGGCTTCCTCTGAAAACAAGAAGAAAATCAATTACATATTACACACATTTTCAAAATGCACCTAAACCATCTTGTGGACTATCCCATCCATGTCAAATCATCACCAACCATGCCACAACGAATACCTGGACACTAAGCCAGAAGATTCCACTCATCTGCTGAAGTGATCTCTTGCCAAATGCATGAAGATACACGATAGGTTGGCATTGTTTTAACAATATCAGTGCTTTTTTCTGAAATCCTTCCTTGTTCCAGTTATAAGCCATCTGTAGAAATATCCAACCTGTTTCAGAGTGTCAGTTCTCAAAACGGTACGGATCAACAAAAGAAACATATGGTATGTTTGGGATTACACTATCTCAGTAGAGTACTGGGTTCGATGGCTGACTTTGTGTGTTGGCGATTAGGTGCCTGATTCTGACTGACAGAGTTTGGTTTTATGACGCTTTTAGCAATATTCCAGCAACATCACGGCGGGGGACACCAGAAATGGGCTTCACACATAGTACCCATGTGGGGATTCGAACCCGGGTCTTCGGTGTGACGAGCCAACGCTTTAACCATTAGGCTACCCAACCGCTCCGCCTGATTCTGACAGTGTGGGTTCGAATCAAAGATGGCACTAAACTTAACAAAAGTACTTGAATCTGTACTTTACTGAGACAGTGTAATCCCAAATATAACATATGTTACATTTGACAACTTGTAAATGACATTGTGTATTCAACAAAAAGATGTGTGTAATGTCTGACCCTGTGAATCGATGAGCATTCTAATGAGTCCAAGGAGTTTGAAGACAACAGCCATCACTTCTGTCCGAGACAGCTTCAACACTACGTCCAGCACACCAGCCTTCAGCATCCGAGGCTTGTTAGGGGCTGAAATACAATCAGCTGATAATAACAGCTCCACTTCCAGACAAACAGAACCAACAGGTTCACCACAATTATGAAGAAATAATGATGAACATGTTTAAATCAGATCAGAATATCATTAGCAACATTTCAAAACATCATTGCTTGGTTCAGCCATACAAAGTTTCAGGTCAATAAGACTTGTACTTTTACAGGATATGTCAAAAGTTAGATAAAAGTCAGATATCCAGATGGATGAAAGACTGATATCCAAACAGTAGTGAGTGAGTTGAGTTTTACGCCACACTCAGCAATATTCCAGCCATATGGTGGGGTCTGGAAATAATCGAGTCTGGACCAGACAATCCAGTGATCAACAGCATGAGCATCGACCTGCACAATTGGGATACGATGACATGTGTCAACCAAGTCAGCGAGCCTGACCACCCGATCCCATTAGTCGCTTCTTGTGACAAGCATGGGTTACCAAAGATCAATTCTTACCCGGATCTTCACGGGTGATTTCCTAAAGAAACACTGAAATGTCATTTCCAATGACCAGTAAGTGACGTTAACCTGCCTCAAAAGTAGGTACAACAAAACATGACTTTGTGAATGACCTGTTGCTCTCGATCTACAACTAAGTACAGTGTCTATGTATTACCACTGTCAAACAAAGACATTCTTACACTGACTGACTGACTGAGTATGGTTTTACACCCTTTTAGCAATCTTCCAGCAATATCACGGCAGGGGACACCTGAAATGGGCTTCACACATTGTACCCATGTGGGGATTCGAACCCGGGCCTTCGGAGTGATGAGCGAACGCTTTAACCACTAGGCTACCCCACTGCCCCGACATTCTTGCAAGTCAGAGAGGTGTTTGAGTTTCCATTAAAGAAAAGCAAATACATTTATTGTTGCAGGGTCTGAAAGCCTGGTGTACCTGGAATGGCGAGGTTGCGAAGTGCACTGAGGACGGCGTGTTGCAGCGTGATGTTGTGCTCCTTGTTTTCAGCAGCCTCCTGACGTACCAGCTCCAACAATTTGTCCATCACACCATCCTCCACCAGGAGGTGACAGTGCTCATCTGGATACATCGGCAACAAGACATAGTGTAAGGGAGACAACAACCAAGATAGTTCCCACTTATCTCCCCTTGACCAAACAGTTATCTCAACCTAGGCATAAGTTAAAGGGTTCAAAGCACCAATGTCATTTCCTTGGGCTTTACATGCAGAATTATTCAGTTATCTATGAAAGTAAATGCCATAGTCATGATGAATAATTCAATAAACAAACCAAAAATTGATTGGATAAAGATATGAATATAAAACTGAAGGGTTGAAAACTTTCAATTTTCAACTCACAGACCATTTGTTTCTCACAACCTGATGTAAAAAAAGATATCTGTATAGTTTAGGTTAAATATACTTTGATGTATTTCATTACTGAAGTGTTCATAGTGATCTTACCACTCCTGGCAAAGTTGCCTATAGCGAGCGCCCCAGAGACCTTCAGGGTATCTGTGTTTCCCTCCAGCCACTTGACGGACTCCATGAACACCGGCCCCTCCCCACCTCCGAACAACTTTTCCATGCTCTTGTCTGAAAACCCAACACACTTACAGGTGGATGCAAGCTTACAGCCACTTCATGGACTCCAACTCAGAACAACTTTTCCAAGTTTACAGGGACGTGAATGACTACATGAACACTGACCCCCTCCACCTCCAAACAACTGCTCCATGATCTTTTCTGAAACACCTATTCTGTGTGTTTAGCTCCACAATGAACAATATTCCAACTATATGGGCACACCTTTTTAATAATTTGTGTCTTAGTTTCCTAATAAATTTTAAGGACAACACACATATCATAAGGTAAGTAAGAAAACCCAGAAATATAAATGAAACAAATATACATTTTCTAAAATTCAATTTATACTTTGTATTTGTTTTCTAAAAGGTCAAACAAAATCACCCAATAGTTCTCACTGGAGTCACTTACTGTCAAATTGCCTTAAGTTATTAATCAGTAAATCACATGTTCAACTTTATAACCATAATATCAGATGATCATTACAACAGAAACTTTAGGACTTTCAACCTGGAAGAGTACTTTATAAGTTAAATATTAAATATGTAAGTCAGCAACTATGATACCCCATTGAACTGACTGACTGACTGAGTTTGTTTTTACGCCGCTTTTAGCAATATTCCAGCTACATCATGGCGGGGGACACCTGAAATGGGCTTCACACATTGTACCCATGTGGGGATTCGAACCCGGGTCTTCGGCGTGACAAGCCAACGCTTTAACCACTAGGCTACCCCACCACCCCCATTGAAAAGTCACTGATACAATTTGAAATTGAAACTAAAGAAACAATATTTTCTAATCTTTGAGAAGAGCAATAAAATATCACATTTGAGACTAAATCTTGTATTAGCTGTTGTGTGTGCTATATTTACTTGGTACTGTGTTGATGTTTGCTTTAATCAAATACTTTGGTAGATTTGCAAAACATTCTTTAGGTGAAAGCAACTCATTGATGAAATATTATGTGCAAATGTTTGCTGAGCATTACCTCCGACTAGAAGAGACACCAGGAGGTCGGAGGCCATCTTGACACACTGCTGACTGTCGTCATCTGACCGCCCAGTGTTACACTGGATGATCTTGATCAGGTGGTTGCTGAGGTTGGTGTCCGCCAGGGTGTCCTTGATCTTGTCTGCAGGGGAGGAGGATTATTGTGAGTTACATGCCTACAATCAGCATCAGTTTGGTAATACAGTCTACATTGACATCAGTATTCCAATTAGATGAAGTGATTTAAGTGTCTCTTCAGAACTAAAAGGACGAGAAAGTCTAGATGTTCTTTGGCTTTTGAGCGAACCACTAGTATGATGATGAGATCTAGAATCTGTCCTGAGACTTACCACTATCAGCCAGTGAGATGAGGAGATCCAAGATGGTGTCCTGGTGATTCTCTCCCTCCTTGGAGGCCAGGACATTGACCAGGGTCTTCGGCATCTCCGACTCACTTATCATCTCTTTGCCGAAGTCTGGAACATTTACAGGTCATTTCATACATCATTCCCTTAAAGAATTCCCTTGACCACAATTTACATCACACACGAGTTTACAATTTTAACTTTCTCTACTTAAGACAAAAGTATCAAAACTGTCACTGAAATGTATCAATTGTTTTATTAATTCATTTTCAAAACATATAATAATGGCAGCATTTTGGGGTCAGTAAATAGTGTAATAGATAAATATACTAAACATTTCACTGTTTGAGCCCCTTTTGTCAAGAGAAAGCTTCGGAGTGCATTACATACTGACAGATTTTTAGTAATCAAGCTACAAAGTCTGTCAAACTTTCTGAACCATGACTATTGGTATTGTGACCTAATGATGCCAACCAGATGCATTTCACCCCTTGTGAAGAAACTGTTATTGACTTTGAATCCAACTAAAAGATATTGATACTTATTACCTACTGATCCAGCCTATATGTTGACATTTGTCACCACTGATCCAGCCTATATAGTATTGACATTTATCACCTACTGATCCAGCCTATATGTTGACATTTGTCACCACTGATCCATTGACATTTATCACCTACTGATCCAGCCTATATGTTGACATTTATCACCTACTGATCCAGCTTATGACATGTTGACATTTATCACCACTGATCCAGCCTATATGTTGACATTTATCACCTACTGATCCAGCCTATATGTTGACATTTGTCACCTACTGATCCAGCCCATATGTTGACATTTATCACCTACTGATCCAGCTTATATGTTGACATTTGCCACCACTGATCCAGTCTATATAATATTGACATTTACTACCTACTGATCCAGCCTATATGTTGACATTTGTCACCACTGATCCAGCCTATATAATATTGCCATTCATCACCTACTGATCCAGGATATATGTTGACATTTCTCACCACTGATCCAGCCTATATATTATTGACATTTATCACCTACTGATCCAGCCTATATGTTGACCTTTGTCACCTACTGATCCAGCTTATATGTTGACATTTGTCACCTACTGATCTAGCCTATACGTTGACATTTGTCACCTACTGATCCCACACATGTGATATTGACACTTATCACTTTAAGAATAAAACCTCAATAACATTTTAGAGATGAAGTTGAAAGAAAGAGAGGGTGGGAAGACAAATGAAGAAAGAAATATATAGAGATATTCATATCTTTTAAAAGCCAGAAAGAAGACCTAAAGAAAGCTACCCACTCTTACTCAATATTCATAAACTTCAAGAGTTGTATTTGCACCTAAATTACCTACTGAAATATTCATAAAAGAAATATTCATAAATTTACTTCAACTCTTCTCCTGATGTAAGTAATGTAGACTGTCAGTAGAAACTTCACATTTCACCTTAACTCCCCACCACACGAGATGGGGTAATCCCATAGTCATCAGTATCAGTGGGAACAGTGGAGGAGAAACACAAGCCCAAGACATAGGCATTGATGAGTAGGACCTGGATCATGACCAGTGCAGCAGTGTGTGCTTCCTTATCGACATACAGCTACATTAGGGCAGTGGTTGCAGCCGATAAGTCCCCACTATCTGCCTTCTGGAGAGAAGGTCTTCCCCTGGGTTCAGACAACATGGGATTATCTGCTTGTATATTACTACCTTGTCATAGAAGTATCTGGAGCATCAATGTGTGATGATGCAGATCCGGGGCACTGTAGCTCACTTTGTATATGTACATTTATAGAGCATGTAGTTAGAGGATTGACCTGAAGTAAGTTGGGTTAGTGAGTGAGTTACTGAGCGAGTTAATAGTGAGTGAGTGAGTGAGTGCAGGTATAAAGGGTTCCCCTTTTTGAAAAGCATGCACAAACGTATCATCCTGAAATATTATAATCCATCATATGAAATCTGGGATTCAAATCCCAAAGAAGCAGCTCTGAAGTGTCTTGGACAATTGGTTTGGCAAGTGACATGACACCAAACACAGCTTCATCAATCCTTGGTATTTCATACCAGTAGTACTTCATTGTACATAGTTTCGTTTCGATAGCATGCCAGGCTCTCCAGATTGTATGTATTAACCCAAACTTTGACTCGATATAATCCTTGGTCAGTTCGCCCTATACTTGTGCCTATGAGTTTTCAAACATGCATAACTTTGGGCTTTCCTCCAGAAAAAGCTGACACGCTTTTCCATTGCTGTAATATCACTGAAAGCTGGGTTAAACCAAACTTACTCAGTAATCACTTTGCTAGTAGTGGTGAGTGATTGAGGGCAGCTTCACTGATGATTGAAGAATGTGACCGATATCTTACAACCATTAATTAACACAGAAACATTCTTTAGGTTTCTTGGCATGCATGATTCCAATGAAGAGTGACTCCAAGCTTTGTGGTAACAGCACTGATGGTGGCCACAGCTCAAATTGATGTCAACCCGTTGAACAGGAAAGTGCAAAAGAATACTCACTAATGTATCCAAGAAAACACTGAATAGAGAAATGAGTGCTGAGGATTGGTCTAACGATTGATATAATCCAGTGATCCAGGTCCAACTATTGATCCAGGTCCAATGATTGATACAATCCAGTGATCCAGGTTTCATTGGGGAGTCCTGATCCAAAATTGATAAAATCCAGTGACCCAGGTTTAACTGGGGAGTTCCAGGATGTCTGAATTGGGGGGGATTTAATTTGTTTGTTTTGCATAAAAATATTTCAAAGAAAACAAAGCTTGACAGTTTCAACAACAAAAATTTAAAGTAATCTCTATTACATTAATGATGGAGGTAAACCCTTACAAAGAAGATCCTCGTCACATTTGCTGTAAGTTGACTGATTACGGTTTCATGAACAGTACTTAGATTACAAAAATATTCCAAGAAACGATATCACTCTTCACTCAAGAATAAACAAATGCAAAAAAACATTTACAAATGAAAAAATTCCAGCTTATATCTATGATAATTATGCACATGTGATGTGTTGCTTGTTCTGGAAGAATAACGCCCTTCCCTTGCAAAGGTTAATTTTGTTTTTCTCTCAGAGTTTATAACATACATCCTTGCACAAAGGAAACATTCACTTTCCTTGTATACATAAATAATTATTCTTACCTAAAGATAAACATGGATATATTAACAGAAAAATATCAAAAGAACTTCTGTAAGCATTTAGCAAGAGATCTCCCCACCCAAGCTGTAATCATCTCCATCCATCTCAGGTATGTGTAATTAAGAAGACAATGCTTTGATGAAGCAGCAAGTCAGCATTCCAGTTAGAGTACCAGTACCCCAAGAAAAACTGGGATAAAATCATGTAAACATACAGAATCTGAACTTATATACCACTTGAAGTTAGATGGTGATAATCAGTTTTGTCAGATATATTTAAAGATATACCTGACATATTTTACCATGAGAATAAGTTTTTAATCATGGAATAAAAATATACACAGAAAATGAAAAGTGGCATGGAATATTCTCGAAACAGATTAGGGGGGAAGTTTGTTTTAAATCAGTGAATTATTTAAGATGTAGTTGCGATTTGGCAACACAATACGAAGAAGACGTTTTATAGATGACAACTTCTTAATTGCAATACATGTGATGTTTGGGTGTAGATGCTAACACTGTTGTCAATCTGCACCAGTCAAGCCATAAAACTTGTTCTCTGTCATACCAGTACCAAGGTGTACATTCTGGTGACCAACCTCAGCTCTGAGTCTGTCTTTGGCTCCCTGGACAAGTAAGCACAGTTGAGATATTACTAATCTTGACTTTTTGACCTTTTCAGTACATTGAAAATGTCATCGGGGGGCGTAGGGGTAGCCTAGTGGTTAAAGCGTTCGCTTGTTACGCTGAAGGCTCGGGTTCGATTCCCCACATGGGCACAATGTGTGAAGCCCATATCTGGGGTCCCCTGCCGTGATATTGCTGGAATATTGCTAAAAACGGCGTAAAACCCAACTCACTCACTCACTAAAATATCATCAAGCTTGATATCCAGGTTTGTCTTCACAAGTTGCTTGTTTTTTTGTATCCACAGTTGGGAGACTGAATTTGTCAGTATAATTCTAATTACTATGGATTTTCCATTATCAATATATTAACAAAATTACAGTTACTATTGTCCTTTATGAAATATTAGTTGATACCATGTAGGAATATATCAGTGCACTTTTAATAAACTCAGACTTATCAAACGTCACATCGGCATTGTTTCTGCCATATAGCAACAGGTTTACAGGTTGAAGTCGCTAATACTGGGAGTTATAAACTAGTTAGGCCAGACCAATTTTATTTCTTGTTTTACAGATTTTTGTCCTCAAAAAACCTAAAGGCAGGAGGAAAAATAAAATAAAATAAAATCACCAGTAAAAGTAAAATTCCAAATACTAAAAGAATTTTACTTTTGGCAATTTATGAAGCATATATGGGGCAAAAAACAATCTTAAAAACAATTTGTTGTAAGTTTACATTTGGGGCCAATAAAAACATTAGGATTTTATTTTTTGAGTGGGGAAAATTAAAGAAATTAATTTTGTTTTTCCTTCTTATTCTTGAAAAAAATACGACCGGCGGGTACATAAAACAAGAAATAAAATTGGTCTGGCCTTACAGAAAATTCCAACATGACAAGGTTAACATCCATCAGATTACGAAAAAAGGTCAAGGTCAAGGTGAAGGTCAAGGACAAGGCCACTGTGTAAATCATAGAACAGGACAACCAGTGCAATGTATATGGCCTATTCAGAAAGTTGTTTATCAATGGCAAATTGCACGTGCATGTCACATTATGTGTTCTTGATGTAGGACATAAACAACATTAACTGCACACAAACACCTCCGCTACCTAGTCTGCACCTGCCACAACTGTGTGATCACTCCTCAGATGAAGAGTTCTTGTCGACATGGAATCAGCTATTAGAAGCGCTGCCAAATTGTTTCCATGGTACTGGACTGAACTTGTAGTCAACCCGAACTGCCAAAACTCCCACAGCAGATGAGGCAGCAAGATGATTT